GGTGGGAGTGGAGGGGCAATGACACACGCGCCCTATTTGATGCTGCTTCACTTACTGAAAAAGACATTTATTTAACCGATAATTAAAAAGAGCAGGAGAAACAGGGAGGAGGGGGGGTGGGGAGGAAGGAGGCAAGATAAGCAAATTAAATTGAGTTGCTCTGGCTGATAAGTGGAACTTCAGAAAATTTGGCAGAGCTGCCTGGGAAGTGTGGGAACTTCAGAAAATGTTGCAGAGCTGCCTGGGAAGTGTGGCAGCAGCGGGGGCCGCTCCACTCAAACCTCCCCAGCCCCTCAAACCTCCCCAGCCCTTTCCCCCCTAATTACTTTCCCGGTTTGGCTGTGGCTTGCCTTCCCCAGGAGCTGCCCTTTCAGATAAGCTGTAAACTAGTTACATTAAAATGGGATCCAAAAGGTCACTCCAGTAAAGCACCTGTCTCTCCCAGCCTTTGTCTCTCAATCCGAACCATGATTAAATGTATATTTAATGAGGCTGCTTTAGGCAGGCGTGTTTGACCTCCCCGGCTGGGAAAGGCGCATTAAGATTCTCAAGTGATGAATGTGTGTTTTAAAGAGGGGAGGGGATATTTTTCTGCTGGTCTTGGTTGGATTTTTCAACATTGCAGGCTGAAGACAAATCAGCGGCTGAAGCTCTGCTTGTTACTCTGGGACAGCCCCCAGGCATTTGTTTAATCATCTCTATTTTCCTGGATGTGTTTTTTTTTTCCCCTTTTGCCTGAGTGCCCTGACACAGCTGACCTAAACCTCATTGGGGTGTTGACTTTCAGGGGGCTGTCTGACCCCCAGACATCATTGGGGTGCCAGCTCTTGGGGATCTGTTTGCCTTCCAGCACCCACTGAGGTATCATTTACCCCTCAGCACCCGTTGGAGGGGCCAGCTCCTGGGGGTCTCACTAAGTGTGCAGGGGGAGCAGGCACGTGCCATGGTCCCTGTGTGATTTCACTGCCTAGGAGCCCATGGTGCCACTTGGATCCTCTTTTTTATTAGTGCTGGGAAGGAAAATGGACGTTACTCTTTTAAAATTATTCCAAACCCATCACCCCTGAGCAGCCCTGGGCTGGTGCAGGGGCCTGGCACACCTTGTTGCCATGGGCTAATTAGATCATCCCTGCCCACATGGTTGATATCCAGGTGATATCCAGGACCACACGTTGGCTTTGGGATACAATTTTCCCTTCTTTATTTATGGCAGCAGGGGTAAGCACTGGTGTGGAGCTGGGCCATGGGGCTGAGCCTCCCGAGCGCCCGCGCGGGTCAGCGGCGCAGATCGTGTTCTCTTAAAACCAGGCGCGATTTAGAAGTGCCTCTGATTACTTAATTTGCTCCTGAGTATCTCAGTAATTATCTTTATGGGTCTGATTTCTGTCCTCTGGCATTGTTTCTGTCAATGCTAAATGAGTCTGGCTCTCGGCGCGCTGGCCGTCTGGCCCAGCACCGCTGTGAAATCCTATTATCCCGCCCGCGCCGCTGAGTAATTTTTGTATTAATTTCACCTAAAAGGTGAGCTGACTAATTTTCCCACCCGTGCTGGGAGATGACAACCCCAGTGCTTTCACCCCCCAGTTCTGCCCTGTGACTCTCCCTGCTGTTAATTATTGTCCCCTTGTCTTGGTGCCCCATGCACCAGCGGGTCTGTCCTCCCAGTATCCCATGAAATCCATCCCGGGTGGTGCTGCAGGTGACTTTGCCATTCCCAGTAATTCCAGGGCTGTGCCGTGGGCAGTTACATCCTTCAGGAGGAGGCAGAAGGGTACCCAGAGCCCTGCCCCCCCCTGCCCATCTCCAGCCAAGGAGCCTGTGGAGAAGCAGCTTCCTCAGGAAAATATCACATCCAATTAACTCCGGCAGCCTGGTCCCTTTTGATTTTATTCTGAGCACATTACAGGAATCCTGAGCTTTATTTAAATTATAAATCAAATAATACCACTCTGGGCTTGGCCAAACTCTTTGCTGCTCTGGCTCTCTGCAGTAATGTAGCAGCAGCTCATATTTAATTAACTGTTCCCTCCTGTGTGCCCTCCTCTGGACCCGGGCCTGGGGGTGTGTGCTCCTGGTGGGAGGTGGGATCCATATGGAGCTGGGAGTTCTGGGGAGCTTCCTAAGCTCCCACTCTGCCAACAGCGTGGTTCTCTGTGCCAGCATCACCCACCAGCTCTCACCACAGAGCTGGAGCCTGGTTCCTTCCCAGGGGTCCTGGGGGACCTGGACCCTGCAGGGGTGATGTAAGAAATGGGTTTTAGGGGGTGGTGTGAGGCTGTGCTGGCTT